CATTATTTTGATTACATGTACAGTACAGCTTTCCCCTTAACACAGTGTATGCATGTAAATGAGTTTCAATAAATTAATAAAGTTACATATATCAGGCCAAAAATAATAGTTGAAAAACTTTATGTAGATAGAGCTTGGATGGCCAAATTTTAGAATGACCAATAATTTTAATAAAAAAAATGCACAAATATTAAAGAGTACAGCTAGACCCCGACTTAGGACTACATGGACTTACGTCCATTGGTACTTATGACCTGCTTTGACCATACGTCCGTCGGGACATGCGACCGTCATGACCAAAAATATTTTCAAATGACGCGCGCATTTTCTATATTGAAATGCTTCCGTCCCTGGCGAGAGGGTGGCGCATCTCGGGTCGCCTCGTGGGTACACTCACTCAGTGAAGCGCTTTGTTTGTGTTTGGCTATCGTATCCTATACTGATAGCGCTGTGAACTTTCGTTATTATCGTATTTAATTGACTTTATAATGACTGGAAAGCGTAAAAGTGAGAGTGCTGGTGGTGTTCCAAGGAAAAGGAGACAGGCAATTACTTTTGAGATGAAAATGAAGATAATAACACAGTATGAGAATGGAAAAACAGTAGCAACAATCTCACGCTACCTATATTTCTCACACTCGACTTATATCCACTATTCTGAAGGACAAGGAACGTATTCGTGAAAGTAGTGAAAGGAACAACACCTATAAAGGGAACTATAATATCAAAGAGAAGACAAGGTCCTATTCACGATATGGAAAAATTATTGGTGATATGGATAGAAGACCAGATACAGAAGCGTGTACCCTTAAGCGTTCTAACCATACAGGCTAAAGCAAGAAGCCTGTTCCAAAGCCTGAAGGAGCAGGCAGAAGATGAATGTGATCAAACCTTTACAGGAAGTCATGGGTGGTTTGATATAATTTAAAAAACGCTACAGTCTACGCAATGTTAAGGTGAGTGGAGAGGCAGCTAGTGCCGATGTTGGTGTTGCCGAAGCTTTTAAGGAGGAGTTAGATGATGTGATTGTGGAAGGGAATTATTTGCCTGAGCAAATATTCAATGTGGATGAGACTGGATTATTGTGGAAGCGCATGCCTGAGTGGACATACATCCACAAAGAGGCGAAAACAATGCCCGTATTCAAGGCATTCAAGGACAGAACTACACTTCTGTAGGGGGGGAATGTTGCTGGTTTCAAGCTAAAGCCCTTTATGATCTATCATTCAGAGAACCCCAGGGCTTTTAAACATGTCAGCAAGCACACACTGCCAGTGTTTTATCGCAGTAACAACAAAGCCTGGATGACCCTAGTACTGTTTGAGGATTGGTTCATGACTTGTTTCATTCCACGAGCCAAGGAGTATTGTCTGCAACAACAGATTCCATTCAAGATTTTACTGATTTTGGATAATGCTCCGGGACACCCACCACACCTGGACGACATGCACCCTGATGTTAAGGTAGTGTACATTCCACCTAACACTACCTCTATCATCCAACCCATGGATCAAGGTGCTATTGCTGCCTTTAAAGCGTAATATTTATGCACGACCTTCGCTCAGGCTGTTGCTGCTACTGAAGGTGAGAAAACTCTCAGACAGTTTTGGAAGGAGTACAACATTTTGTCATGTATAAAGAACATTAGTACAGCATGCGATCAGGTTACAAAACATTGCATGAATGGAATATGGAAGAAAATCCTGAAAAGATATGTGCACAGTTTCAAAGGATTTAATGAAAATGAAGTTATTTCTGATATTAGTAACAAGATAGTGGAGTTAGGTAAACAGCTGGAGTTAGAAATTGATACTGAAGATGTTGGACAGTTGGTTGAAAGTGTAGCAGAAGAGCTCAGTAATGAGGATCTTATTGAAGTAGATGCTCAGAAAATTGCAGAGGAAGAAGAGAGACAAAATGTAGAAGAAGAACCTGCACCCCCAAAAAGTTTTCAGTGAAACAAATGGCAGAGGCATTTGCTACAATTAATATAGCAATGCAAATGTTTGATGACATGGATCAAAATTATGAGCGTTATGCCAAAGTTGACAGTACGATCCAAGGTGCACTTGCTTGCTACAGAGAAATTTATAATGAAAAGAAAAAGCAAACTGTGCAGTCTAAATTGGACATCTATTTCAAGAAGTCCCCCAGTGCTGTCTCCTCACGCCCCACCAGTGCTGCCTCTTCACTCCCTCAAGATGAATCAATACCTTCAACTAGCCAGTTTTCACAGCATATAAACCTGTCTGAAGAAAGCGACATTAATTCCCCACCCAGCCCTGTCTCCTCTTCTGCTTCTTCCAATTAATATAGTCTCCATGTATCCTGTAAATAGAAAATTATGGGGGCCTTGTGTGCATTCAGCTGACTACATTTGAGGTAAGTGCTCAGTCACACTGTATCCATTCCTCATTATTTATTACTTTTACTGTACTGTATCCATTCTTCATTATTTATTACGTTTAGTGTACTGTATTTCATTGTAGATATTTAATTTTTTTTTTTTTTAATTTAATTTTTTTTTATTTATTTATTTATTTATTTATTTTTATCTATGTCGGACTTACGACCATGTCGGACTTACGACTTGGATTTGAGTCCCTAACCCCGTCATAAGGCGTGGTCTAGCTGTACAATTTTCTTGATATTTACTCCACTGGAAACGAATGTAAACATAGAACAGATTATTGGATTGGCAGACTAGCCCATTAGCTGATGCTCACAACAAAACGTGATGTTCGTTAGGTTTTCGTTAATCAAATTTTTTTTCGTTAACCGAATTGAAGATTCTTATGGAAGGTAATTCGTTAACCGAACCATTCGTTAACCGAGGGATCACTGTGCAGTTGTCCCTCGGTTAACGAACACAATTCGTTCCAAAAGGTCGTTCGTTAACTGAATCCATTGTTTCAAAGGGATATTGGGTAATTAGTTCCAGCTCACCGAAAGGTACATACAAATTAAAAAAAAAAGAAATGCAGTAAAGTACACTTACTTAGAACAGATTACTGAATTGGCAGACTGGGCCATCAGCTGACCAGCTGATGCTCACAACAAAACATGATTTTCGTAAGGATTTCGTTAATCGAATTCTTGTTCGTTAACCGAATTGAAGATTTTTATGGAAGGTAAGTCGTTGACCGAAATTTCGTTAACCGAGGCGTTCGTTAACCGAGGGACCACTGTATATTGTGTATGAACCCCCATTAATTGCCCCTATTGAACTAGTAAAATAAGCTGTATCACGCATTTGTGTTTTATATACTACACTTGTACTGAGCCTGTGTTAATATATAATATTATCTTCACACCCTTGAGTCACGCTACCTACTTTCCTCACTGTACGACTCTACTACTATAAACTCCTACCTTACCTCTTCATATGAGATTTAACCTCATTATAATCAGCTCCTGGATAATCGGTGGTGTTCCTGTACTTTGGGAATTACAGGACTTCAGGATTTTGGGTACACAGTACGCCCGGATAATTCGTGGATTTTTATTTCGCTGTCCTCTATCAATCGCAGCTGACACCCTGGATGCACCCAAGAATATCTGTGTGTAGTTTTAAAGTTGCCGGCATTTTCGTGGCCGGGGCAGGGAGCCATTCGTTCTAGAGACAGTAATTTCTTTTACGAAGTAGACTTGAGGGTAGACTCAACATTTTTAATACTACATTTGTTTCTGGTTATTTGTGAGAGGATTTCTCATTATTATTTATCTGAATGTGTTTTGTGTCTACCCACACACGCATATATACACTATAGGTAAAATAAATAATTGTCCTAAGGGCAAATACATACCTAAAGGGAATATACTGTATCTACATTTCTTTGTAAAATGTACCCCCTCCCCTCCCCTGGTCAGAATATGTTATTCGCGGATTTGGAGATTCTCGACCAGTTTGAGAACCGACCCCCAGCGAATTTGAAGGGCCTACTGCAATGTACTGCATTCTATAGAAGCTTGTCTTTGCACTAATGGAAAGTGTAGTAGTACTGTGATAATACCCGGGATGCATGTTTAATAATTGAGTGCTCATCGTAAGTCTCCTGTATAAGCAATATATGAGGACTTCATTGGGATATTGGTAATAGCACAATAGCACATGATATAAATAATATGCACCGTTATATAAAAGCAATTTTTAAGGACATTGATTTCTTAAAACACTGTACAATAAGTAATGTTATGATACTTAACAATGTATTCAGTTGGAGCCAGGCTGTGGCTCTCCTTCTCAGAACCTGCACACTTCTTGATAAAGTCATCTTCTTCATTAAAACATTCTTTGAATGAGTTATCTTGGTTGAAAGTAATGAAGAAGTGGAAGGCACAGAAGCTCTTTTCTTATCCTTCTTCTCTATAATTTTTCTAAATGTAGGCAAACCCAAAACCAATCTCATGCCAATATTAATCTGGTGCTCACCAGCCTCCACTTTCCTTATAACCTGCATTTTTACTTCCACTATTATTTGCAGGCTTTTTCCCAGACATTATGAGTTAATTTGGCTCATGAAATTATGCACAATTAAGGAGAAATAAAGAGTTAATGCAGGGCTGTAAACATAAGCATTCAAAACTGGTGGAGTGAGGTGCTGATTGGCACACTGTTGGAAAAGTGTGCCGATTGGCACACTGTTCTCATTGGCTGAGCGCTAATTGGCACTCACTGTTCTCATTAGCTGAGCGCTGATCGGCACACAAAGTTCTAATTGGTACACACTGTTCTCATTGGCTGAACAACTTAGAAAGAAGAAGAGACTGATGTCATATGTTGCCTGTTCTTGTATAGAACTTTCCAACCACTTGACAATTTTTTATTTTTTTTTGCAAAAAAATCAGATGAAAGAGAGCATTATGGCAAAGAAGAGTTAAATAAAAGAGTTTTAATAAAAATGTGCCTGTACTTGCTTTAGTATGTTTTAATTGCAAGTAGCATTATTTTATGTTTGAAGAGGTAAATACCACTAAATTACTTAACATAAAATTTTCAGGAGTGTTGTACCCACTTCCCTGTCCCACTGTGTGGCAGTGATACTCCTATTAAACAGGAAAAGTTCATTATGTCTACTGCTGCACACAGTACCCAAGACCAGGTGAAGTGTGTGGTGACTGTGACAGGGGACACAATCAGCCAGGCAGTAAGTACCTACATTATCTATATAATATATAAGCCATAGCAAGTAGAGATGACTGTGTGGAGGTACAGTCAACCCTCACTTTACGCGGTTAATGTAACCCACAGGGTACCTCGGAAAGTGAGAAACGCGGAAAGTGAATAACATAACATATGGGATTAAATGAAATAGAGACCAGCTGACCCCCAAACTCCACTTTTTCCAACACAATACCTATGTTCTAGTAAAAATAACATCTTAATTTTATGATGGTACATGCACACAATTAATACTTAAGAGAAATAGAGAAATACAGTCGCCAAGTTAATGTCCATTCAAATAATGGACTCAACTCCCTCCCCCTCTTCTCACACTACACTCGCTGGCTCTTCCCTCTCTGAGAAATTTTTGGGGGAAAACCAGGTATAGTAATAAATAATACCTCAAACTAAAGTTAGGATAATATAATTGACATTGCTGGATTCCTTGTAAGACCAGGAATATTTTGAATATAAATGTCATATATTTTGCACAAAAGATAACATATTTACTCAGAGTAAACATTATATCTAAAATTTGTATGTCTAATGCAAAATCTATGATGTTTATATTCAAAATGATCATCAAATTGTAAGAATTCCAGCAATGTAAATTATATTCTGGCCGGGTAATTTGTATGAATTTTATGAGCTAAAACAAATATCTTCAGTTAATAAAAAAAAAATATTCTTCACACCGTGCCAGGTGGTCGGTCGCCAAACCCTCCCTCCCTCCCACCCCCCACCAACCCTCCCTACCAGATGAATGTGTGGGAATACCAGACTGTTTACCTTTTTAGTAATAAATAATAAATCAGACTAAAGTTAGGATAATATAATTGACATTGCTGGATTCCTTGTAAGACCAGGAATATTTTGAATATAAATGTCATATATTTTGCACAAAAGATAACATATTTACTCAGAGTAAACATTATATCTAAAATTTGTATGTCTAATGCAAAATCTATGATGTTTATATTCAAAATGATCATCAAATTGTAAGAATTCCAGCAATGTAAATTATATTCTGGCCGGATAATTTGTATGAATTTTATGAGCTAAATAAAAAAATTATACTTCACCCGCGTAAAGGGGTACACCCACCGCGGAATGTGAGCATCCTGGGTTCTGGCAGGGCACCGTGTAAACATGGAAACGCGGAATGTGGGACCGCTTAAAGTGAGGGTTGACTGTACTGGGAATACTTTATGTGCCTATGAATTTACTAGACCATTGAAAGAGGCTTCATGCTGTGACATTTTGGCGACATTAATCAAGGATTTATCTAGCTCCTTCTGTTATGGAAGAGATGTATGTTGAAGATAAAGATAGTTTAAAATTTTATTCACTCATTTTTATAATTCCATTCATACAATTTAGAGCTCAAGTCTGGGTACTCATTTCATCATTCAAGTGTTCTATTCACTGATGGACTCTAACCCAGACAACAGACACACTTCATGTCCTCCATCACATACATTCATGTTAATATACATTTCCCTGTGTTTTTCTTGATCTTATCTTCGTCAATTTTGCTCACATTCACTAGCACATTATCTCACTATGCATACTTTCAAGATCATTCAGTATCATTTGCAATTACGTACTGTGTTCTGAATCACCCACCAGAGCAGTTTTGTGTACAAACAAGAGCTGACACACCTTCCATTTACACCCCTCATCTCTGCCAATCAAACTTGCACTCCACATCATCATGCTTGCTTTCACCCTCTCTTACCAACCCATTCATGTGAGTACTGAACAGCCATAATGACATTACTGTATACATTTCTGACACCATCCTAGTTTTACCAAGTTCCAGGGAACTTGGAAAATGTTTTCCATCCATGCTTCCAGTGTTGGGCCACCACCTTAACACAGTCATTCAAGGCCCTGGGTTTATCAAGTGGAATTAGAAATGTGACTTCTTTTCTATGAAGTATAATTATGCCTATTGGAAGAATTGCTGCAAGTGTTTGAGTCAACATATCTTAAAATTTGAATTATGCTAATAATATTTGTTTGCTTAGATTTTTTTTTAAATCCAGGAAATATGATTGAAATAAAAAAGATTTACGTTATTTACAAAATCTGTTATTTTTTTCTTCCTCAGAGAAAAGGTACTGTAATTGTAAAGTAATAAAAAGGCGCTGTAACTTAGATTTAAAGTAATAAGCTGCACATGGTCTTGCAGGATATCAACATGAAGGCAGCAAAGCATCAAAACCAGGTTCATCGTACCAGTGTGACTCCTGATGCACCTTGGCGTATACAACAAATACAGGATGCTGGAAACTTCCTCCAGCTAGCAATCAAGTTCTTGCAGGGCAATGGGGCAAGTAACTCTTTTCGGTAAGTTTACAAATTTACAGGTACAGTCTGACCTTGCAAATTCGTGTCTCAGAAGTCGATTTTTCCACAAATCCGTGCATTTTTGTGATCGTTCCCCCCTATTGCTGTGTTTATCACTTGTCTGTGTTCATTTGAGAAAAAATCACTACAATACTCTTATGTGGCTTAGAATAAAGAAAATATATTATAAATCTATAGAATAAGAAAATGAAGGCACAAACTACATGTTTCCATCTCAAATAGTATGTGTTTTGTGACTGAAAATGTAGAGGTATCTGACAATCTCGGGTGTAGGGTTGTGGGAGCGCGGAACCTGAGTAGTCTTCCACCAAGAGGTGGGTAAATCCTGAGAGTGTTAAACTCCACAAAGTGGCAGTTCTCTGGGTTGGAAGTTTGACTTGTGCTTTGTCCACCCAATTAATATGCAGGGTATGGGAAATTCAGAATATTTGCGAGGTCACAACACCTCCAATATTTCAGGAATTAAGTGGCATTCATCTCAGTCACTTGGGAGACAGACTGGCAAAGACTCCTGACTCTGTTGCCAGCTAGCCCATCATAGATACATTGTTTTGACAGGACTATCACACAGGGAACTGGAGTGATAAGGAGTGTTGCACAGTTGACAGTTCTTGACTTAACATGGTGAGCATGTCTAAGCAGGAGACAGGTAGTGTGGTATCAGCCTTTGCAAGCAAAAATACCAAGTTAATTTATTGATACAGTAGTGAAAATTTCTAATGCTTGGATCCAAGATAGGATGTGTACTTAGCATGTACAAGTCCAAGGAGGGAAGAACTTACATAAGGTAGCAGATTCATATCATCAGGATTGTCTTTAATTTTCAGCAAATTCTTCTGTTGTAAAATAAAGTTTTAGATGATTTTTGTTAACTTTTTGTTCAGCACAATCTAAAGCATTCTTAGCTAAATATGTCATAGGTTCTGTGTTTTTGACAATCCTTTAAGGTCCTAACCACTTGGGAGCTGAACCACGACTAATCCCTAAGAGAGCTACATCAGGCTATTGTTGGCATGACACACTTGTTATAGTCTCAGGCAGAAACTTCTTGAGCTCCTTAAGATGGTTATATGGTAATTTGATGTGACTTGAATAACTGAATCTTAAAAACTACTTATAGATGACCTGGTTTGTAATTTGTACTAGATACAGAGCATCTTGATCTCTCAGGAGGTAGAGTGGTTGAATGTTAATACTTTGATGTTTTTTTTTTACTATTAACCATGTGTAGACTGCACATTCATTATCAAATTTACCCAAAAGATTGAGATTTGGAGAGTCCATACCCTCTCTGGCTACATCTTGTTGTCATGATTACTTATGGATAACGGAGTTCGTGGAAACATCGGCCAACTGTGTCAAAATGATAATGATGTTTGGCAACTTTCCATGTTTCATACACTATTCATACATTTAAGACTTGGGTGCAAATTGCAAAATGTCAATGTGCATCATTGCCTAATAAGCTATCTCACATGAATTTGCATTATACAGTCAACCCTCACTTTACGCGGTTAATATAACCCACAGGGTACCGCGGAAAGTGAGAAACGCGTAAAGTGAACAACATAACATATGGGATTAATTGAAATAGAGACCGGGCCGACCCCCAAACTCCACTTTTTGATGACATACAACTATGTTGTAGTAAAAATTTTATCTTAACTTTATGATGGTATGCACACACAAGTAATATAGAAGAGGATAGGTTAGGAAAATAAAGGTTAAGTTAGGAAAAATAAAGGTTAGGTTAGGAAAACTAAAAGTTAGGTTGAACACTTACGTTAGTAGAAGAGTTGGGTCGGCATACGGGGATGGAGGCTGGTTCCGAGGCAGAGGGCAGGCTACTGGCCCTCAGGTGAGTCACCATCACTGTCATCCACACTTGTCAGGGCCTCCCTGACAAATCCCTCAAAGTCATCTTCACTGTCTCTACCTCTGTCACTATCACTGGCTTGGGCTGGCTGTGGTGGGTTGCGGACGAAGAACTCTGTTATGCTTTGCTGACGGCTGGTGTTTATGTTATCGTGATAAACCTTGAAGTAGGGCTCCATAGTCTGCAACAGCTGGGTAGTGACGATTTCATACCTGTTTGTGTCATGGTCGTCGGAAAGGAGGAGCTTGATTTTCTCGACACACTCGATGGCACCCCTAAAATTACTGTGGGATAAGCGGTGTTCTTCTTGGGATGACGCACCACCTGCCTCTTCACTGACGTCATCATCATCAACCATCTCGTCGGTAGTCACATCAGGATCCCTTATCACCTCCAGGATGTCGTCGTTGGTGGTCTCGGAGAAGCCTGCAGCTGTAACACTCTGCGCAGCTTCTCTGGCAAGGCCCACTGCTACTGTAACAGTCTGAACCTCACCAGTCACAGATTGACTCTGCCTTACGCCCGGAATGCCTTGCAACACATGTCTCCATGCGTGACGAACAGTTGCTACAGACAGCTGATCCCATGCCTCCACCAAGAAGTCCACAGCTTTCTTGATGTTAAATATTCTCCAGAATTGTTTGAAAAGTATTTTTTGCTCTGCCAACTGTTGATCCTCGTCTTCTTCGCTCTTGCTATCGGTGGTGGTGTCACTCAGGTTACGCAACTCTTCCCTGGTGTTGGTGTAGTCGTTCAGGAACTGGAATTTTGTTGTTGACAATGCAGCTTTTACATTGCAGATTAACTCTTGGTCCATGGGCTGTAATATAGACGTAGTGTTGGGAGGAAGGAAGACCACTTTTACGTTGGGGTGACGATCTAACAGTAGGGGCGAGTGTCCTGGTGCGTTGTCCAGCAGCAACAAAATCTTGAATGGCACATTCTGTTGCTCACAGAATTTCTTTACATCGGGAACGAAACAGTCATCAAACCAGGAGAGGGACAGTATAGAGAACATCCACGCCTTACGTGCGGTCAGCCAGTGGACATATAGCTTGGTCATGTCCATGTTCTTGTAGGCATGCGGCTTGCGGGCTGTGTGGATCACCGATAACTGGAGCTTACAGGTACCGGAGGCATGGGTGGTAAACAGGACGGTGATGCGCTCCTTCTGCATCTTCCGGCCCCGAATCTTGCTGGCATTCTTTACAACGAAGGACTTGGAAGGTAGCTTTTTCCAGAAAAGACCAGATTCGTCCATGTTAAACACCTGGTCGTCGGTGTACTGTCCTTCCTCCATAATCTCACGTAAAAACGGAGAAAATTCCCTAGCCGCAGCACGGTCAGCACTGGCTTCTTCGCCACCAATGTTTATATTGGTGATCTTGTTCCGCATCTTAAACCTCTGTAACCACCCAGAGGAAGCATTAAAGGGTTTGGGCTCTGTAATTCCCATCTTTCGTGACACTGCAGCATACAGTTCACGTGCGTACTCCTTAACAGAGCGCGTGTCGACCGCCATGTTCCGTCGCGCCTGACGCACCAAGTAGCTCACAAGTAATTTTTCTGTCTTGAGAAGCACCTGGTTGTGAAAATACTTGATCATAGAAGCACCTGTAGACTTTTTGATCTTCATGTGCTCCTTTATCTTGGCTGCATCCTTCTTTATCGTCCGGATCGTAGATTCGTTCACACCATGCTGGCGCGCCAAATCAACCTGTCTTGTTCCTTTCTCTAACTTTTGGATGATCTTGTACTTCACCTCGTAGCTTAAGGAACGTCGTGTCTTCTTGGGCTTAGGGCGGCTGGGTCCAGGCAAGGAAAGGTTTCTCTCTGGGGGTGGTGGTCCGGCGGAAGCCATTTTACAGAACAATGGATGCACGATTACACTGTGTGGCCTGGAGGGATGAAACTGCCGCGGCTAGGTCAAGCGTCGTATTTCCTCCCTCCCTCCCTCCCTCCCCCGGGTGGACACTGTAGGTTACGTATCTAAGCTACTGTGCCGAGTAGCAACCTTGTATATAAGCTACTGTGCCGAGTAGCATCTATGTATATAATTACGTGGCAACACTGCCCGTGTTATGTGGCAACATTGCCCTGAGGCTGCCATATGGCAAGGCAGTCTCAGTCTGACTTCGTGGGCCGTGCATGGCACACGCTAGTCACCACCTGTATTTCTCCTATCCGAATAAATGGACTTCAGTGTTACCCGGTGTTTCCCTACCCATCACTGCATTCTTCAGGGAACATCTGGAACCTTCATGGCGCAGTGAGTAGGATGTGTGGACTAACAAGTGTGTGAACAGTGGACAGTTAGCCGGCGATGTGCACATGACTCTTAGTGTGTGCTGTGTTGTGTTGCGTTGTGTTTCGCTACGACGTGCAGCGTTGCTCCGTCTCAGTGCATTTTAGTGACGGTGGCAGTGTTAGTGTCAGTGTATTAGTGTGTCTAGAGCTGAGAGTTGAGCATTGGCCTTTTTTTGTGGTACCCACGGAGCATGCAGATGTACACCCTTCTCGTGTGACATCCGGGGAGGCACTAACGTTCTCACCCCCGCGGCGGCTCTAGCCACCGGCATTAAGGCCACCACAAAGTGCTCTCTCAGACACACACACACACGCACGCACTCACTCACAGACAGAACAGTGGACTCTATGCGTTATTTCTGCGCTGTTGATGTCATATATATGTGGTTCGAGCTGATGAGGCGCCACTTTCTATACTAAACAGTGCAGTTCAAGCATATTAAGATGGGCGGTAAGAAGGGACAACGTCAAGATGGGAGACACGACTCCCCACCATCTTCTCCTCTACCGGGCACAGATGGAGCTTCTGAGCCCACTGCCCCTCATCCTTCACCTACAGCGACGGACATTGACACAATTCTGAGGTGGATGGACGACAGAGACGAGCGACGCCGAGAGATGGAACTTCAGAGGGAGGAGACATGAAGAGAGGAGGAAAAGTCTCGTTTTGATGCACTATTGGCGACCCTGGCACTAACCCACCCTCCCTCACTCGCAGGTTTCGCGCACCAAGGTGCCAGTACCCTCCCTCCTCCACCACACCAGCGTCCTCCAGGTACTCTTGCTACTCCAACAG